GTAGTTCATTCAACTATTCAGATCAGCTAAATTAATTATGTTTTTCCTCTATCTACTTCTAGAACATGTACTCTCATAGCCAGCTACAGCTCTGAATTGTGTATGTGAAACGTAGATCACCTCTGGGACTTGCTACTTTGCATTGTTCTGTTTTTTTAAATTTTTCTCTCCTAGAATCTAAAGTACTGTTCAAGAGTCTGAGATGCAAGTTGACTGAAATCACAACAATCCAGGTTCCTGAGGAAGCAAGGCATTTCTTTGACAGTTGCCATCATCTTCTACTGCAGTTCCAAAAGGCTTTCTACCAGTTTATTAAATTTAAAAAACAGATTCCCATGGGGGACAAAGAACAGAAAGAAGAGAGGTGCAACTACAGCTCTTTAAGATGACAGTAGAAGTGGGAAGATTTTAATTACATCCCAATAGTTTTCTCTCATAAGAGTGAAACAACTCTTTCCACAGGGCAAGATTATATCAAGACATATACAAACAGTATACAGTCTTCAAGAACAGGATCTTATTGCCAGCAATACAATAAAGTGTCAGTTACTTAGGCTTAGAATAATGTTACTTTCTTACACCTTTAAGATTGCAGGCAAACACACAGAAAGGAGAAAGCAGGCATTGTTAGAAAAAGCTCCCTCAAACCTCTCACAAAACCAGCTATTACTCACCTTTATCTTACTTTATTCTGTATTAAGAGAAGTAAAAACCCATCGTACTGTTCTCTTATAAATCTTCCTCATAAACTTTGAAGAACTTTCCTAATTGTCTGATTAATCTTGTTTGGAAGGACAGCAAGGATTCTGAAGAGACCCCACCTGAACCTGATTATCAGGAGATCTGATCTCTCAACTCTGTAAAAGGATTTGCAGCTGGCATTATTAAACTTGGCAGGCCAAAAATGATGTATGAAGTTTCTACTGTTACCAATGTTTTTTATTTCATGCACCTTGAAAATATTCCCTTTTCCCTTTATTTATTTATTTTTTTATTTAGTGCTATGTTAACCTGTGTATTGTGTCAATAACAATGACATTGATTAATGGAGTAGCCTGGATGGAAGCAGTCTTTAAAATCAGAGAGAACAGCCTCAGTCAGGTAGTAACTGTAGGGTTTTGTTGCATACAGCTCTACTTCCATTGCATCAGTGAAATCAAAAGGCTTATATACAAAATGTGTGTTTTAGGGATCAGTTCCCACACTCCCTTTTTGGAATCCACCTTTAACTACGTGTCTGCACACAGAAGGGGGAAAAATCTATCAGGTGCAGGCAGGGCTTTTTTTGTAGAAAAAGGCCAGCAGGAACTCATTAGCATAATAGGCCACACCCAACAGCAGAAACTCATTAGAATATTAGACCACACCCCTGACAGTGCAGCTCATTAGCATATCAGGTCACACCCCATGCCTTCCATTGGCTTGCCCGGGCGTCCCACGGCTGCGGGGAGCCCGGGGAAGCCATCCCTTGGAGGGGAGTCACCGGGGGGGGGGGTAACTCTCCAGGCCTTCCCTCTGTAGCCACGCATGCACAGAGGTTTTAACTGTAGGCGTGGGCATGGCCAACTCAAAAGCCAGCCGGAACACCGTTCCTGTGCGTTCCTGCCCAAAAATACCCCTGGGTGCAGGGCTGCTTAGTATGTTTTCACTGTTTACTTAGGTCTCATTTTCAAAGCTGCAGTGATTGGGATACTGCACCTGTTGTATTCCTTGCCGCTAGATACGTCCTGGAGACTAATTACTTACAGAAGCTTGAAGTGTACCCTGATAATTTATTTATTTAGTACATTTTGAACCCAACCTTCCTCCAAGGAGCTCAGGGCAGTGTACATCATCTCCCCCCCCCATGTAATCATCACCACAACCCTGTGAGGTTGGTTAGGCTGAGAATGTGTGACTGGCCCAAGATCACCCAACAAGCTTCCATGGCATGAGTGGGGATTTGAACCTGGGTCTCCCAGATCCTAGTCTGGCACCCTAGCCAGTACATCATGCAGGCTCTGTGCTTATAGCCGGCCTGAATCAGTACCCTTCTACAGGGGCATAGACTTCTCAATTTCCCGGGGAGGGGGAGCATAGGGCTGAACCTAGTCCAGACCCATACTTGGTAATCTATATTAAATATAAAATTATTTATATTTCAAAAAAATCATGTGATTTAAAAAATATAATTATTTTCACTTGTAATAACCTGAATCTCAGTAAAAGAAAAAGGACTGTATAAGAGGAGAGGAAAGGTGTAACAAACTCTTTCACTCTCCTTTGTGTATGAAAGGAAATGCTTTCTCCCCCCTCTCTTTTCCTCACAGCTTAGGTCATATAGTATGCTTTGTGACTAAGTGGAGATTTTAATTCTGGTCTCCCCAATCTTAGACCAGTTCTGGTCTCCTCCATTCCTAGACCAGGTTTTACCAACAACTACACCACTGACATACTAGGTACTCAGTATGAATCACCAAATGAATCAGAATCCACAGCAAATGCTGGCTTCTCAGATACCCTGACTGAAAATGTCAGCTCCAGGTCTTGTTTTTACTGAGTTTATTTATTAGTTCAATTTATACCCCGCCCTCCCTGCCAAGGCAGGCTCAGGGTGGCTGGAGCTTCTCCATCTTTGACTGCAAATTATATAATCAATCTTATTTCGATGTTGCACATCTGGTGATGTCCATGTGTAGAGTCACCTCTTAGGTTGTTGGAAGAGGGTGTTCGCTATGACCAGCATGTTCTCTTGAAAAAACTCTGTTAGTCTTTGCCCAGCTTCATTTTGTTCTTCAAGGCCAAACTTGTCTGTTATTCCGGTTACTTTTTGACTTCCTACTTTAGCATTCCAGTCCCCTATGATGATAAGGACATCTTTTTTGGTGTTAGTTCTAGGAGGTATTGTAGGTCTCGTTGAACTGGTCCACTTCAGCCTCCTCTGCGTCAGTGGTGGGGGCATGGATTTGGATTTGACTTGGACTGAAATCATAATGTAGTTTTTGAGATTGTACTGCCTTTCTCACTCTCTTGTTGACTATAAAGGCCACACTATTTTTTCTACAGGATTCATGGCCACAGTAGTAGATATAATGGTCCTCTGAGTTAAATCCGCCCATTCCCGTCCACTTTAGTTCACTGATTCCCAAGATGTCGATGTTCAGTCTTGCCATCTCATTTTTGACCACGTCAAGCTTATCTTGATTCATAGATCTTACATTCCAGGTTCCTATGGAGTATTGTTCTTTGCAGCATCGGACTTTATTTTCAGCATCAGACACATCCACAGCTGAGTGTCCTTTCAGCTTTGGCCCAGCCGCTTCATTCTTTCTGAAATTACTTGCACTTGCCCTCTGCTCTTCCCCAGTAGCATGTTGGAAACCTTCCAACCTGAAGGGCTCATCTTCCAGCATCATATCTTTTAGCCTTTTGTTACTGTCCATGGGGTTTTGTTGGCAAAGATACTGGAGTGGGTTGCAACTTGCCATTTTCTCTCCAGTGGATTGTGTTTTGTCTAAGTTCTCCACTGTGGCCTGTTCGTACTGGGTGACCCTCCACGGTATAGCCCGCAGCCTCATTGAACCATGCAAGCCCCCTCGCTGTGTCAAGGCAGCGATCTGGCTGCTTGATAGTAATTAGATTTTGCACTCAGGAGGACTTGCATTTGGTGATGAAATTACCTTGCTAGACCAAGGTGTGTACCTGGCCTTGCAAGACACTATGGCAAGGCATGCAGGTGACTACTGCTTTAGGATGCAATCTCCAG